GCGCCAGCAAGCCAGCGGCCTGGTAGGACTTGTTCCGCGGACCGGTACCGGTCCACGGACCGGTGGTTGGGGACCCCTGGACTACATTACAGATGGCTGAGCTCAATCTAGAACAATATTATCTCATGAGAGCCCCCCCACACACACACCTCAGAGTGAATGAGTGAGTTATACTGGTTGGAGCTTCTCACACATCTTTTATGTTTGCAAAATCCTATGCATTCTATGAAAATTTGTCCAATATCCCTTTTAATAGTCAAATTGATTGCAATTCTATATTTTAAAAAAGGAAAAAGGACTAAGTGCAGGAGTACTGTACTCAAAGGCAGGTAGGACTAATGAAATAAAACAAATTAGAGATAAACTCTAAATCACAAAAAGCTCATACAAGTATAAAAAATGTCTGTTATTTTAATGATTAGAAATTGAAAATATTGGCTTGCAGTGTTTTATAGAAATCATTCTAAGAATGCATTAGGAGACTAATCTCTGGTCCCAAGAAATTAGGGGGAGAGAAAATTCTTCCGAGGGGCCATAGAAGCCCATTGGATGAAAAAAGAAAAAAAGAAAAAAGACACTAATTACGCACTGCAGTACAATAACCACAGTATTGTTCACCTGGAAAATCCATCCATACCTCAAGACTCCAAGCCTTGGTGGCGCAGTAGTTAGAGTGCTGTACTGCAAGCCACTTCTGCTTACTATCAGCTGCCTGCATTTCTGGTTAGTTATTTTACTGGTTGAGCTGCACTTCTGATCACACCACTGCTGCCGAAGGTAAGGCTGAAGGGTGTGGGGGAGGGCCACTTGACTGAGGGGTGGTGACGCAGGTGCAGCCATATGACCCAGGGCCGGTGGGTGAGAGGGGGAGGAGCTGCTGCTGGTTTGAAAAGCAGCTCTGCTGCCAGCTTGTAAAGTAGTGCTTTAAAAGTCTTTAAAAACACTTATAAAACAGTCTTTCAGGATGTTTTTCACAACCATGTGATTCAGAGCCAGTGGGTGAGAAGGGGAGGGGCTGCTGCTGGTTTGTAAAGAAGCTCTGATGTACTTTAAAATTCTTTAAAAACGTTTTAAAAATGGCCTTTCAGGATGTTTTTCAGCTCCCGATCCATGTCTCTTAGCTTTTTCGAAATTAGCTGAAGTTGACTAACACTAATTCAAATGCAACCGCAGTATTATGCCTGAAGAAGAATCCACCCGATGACAAAAAGTCATATTGATTTTAAACCAGAAATATTTTTATTGGGTATTGTACCAGAGATATACAGTAGAGAACTGATATATTTGATTGTGAATGTACTAACAGCAGCTAGAATTATATTTGCAAAGAATTGGAAAAAAGAGAAAATACCAACGCAGGAGGAAGTTATTAAGAGTGGAATGTGCTGAAATGAGTAAATTGACATTTGAAATTAGAGAACAAGAAGAAAAACAATATCATAAGATATGGAATTTATTTTATCAATAGTTAGAAAAAAATGTGGAAATGATATATTTTATAGATAACTTTACAATATAAAAATAATAGAATTTAAGGGAAAATGATATAAGAATGTATTTTTTATTAGATGAAGTGGCAATGGAAGTTACATTACATATTGGTTTAAAATGTTGAATATTTTATATGAAGTGGTGGAACAAATAGTTATTGTTAAATGAAAGAACCATAATGATTTTTTATATATATACATACATACATACATACATACATACATACATACATACACACACACACACACACACACACATACATACATACAAAAAATGGAAAATATGAGAATTTATGTGATTTGTGAAGGAGGACTATGGACACGTAGCACAAAAGAATTGCAACCAGTCGACACACTGTATGTAATTGAAACATGGTTTTATGTTTTTACGTATTGTTTTGCCTGTGTTTGTTTAGAAAAATAAAAAACTTTTTTTTTAAAAAGAATTCACCCACTGCTTTGATTCTTGCCACATATAAAGTCCATCCACCAAATTGGTTGCTGAACAATTTTGGTAGATATTCATGTGTGCGTATATACACATGCACAAGTGTGGAAAAAGCAAATTAGTTTGTGAATTCTCCTTCAGCCTTAAAAGCCCTGTAATCCCAAATAATTCAAAAAAGTAGTCTGGTTTCCTAGTAAATAGATTGAGCAAGTACAGCAAGGACAAAGGCAAAATGGACTGCTAAATTGGCCATGCCCACCCAGTCACATGACCACCTAGCCACGCCCAGCCAGCCAGTCCGGCCCCCCAACAGTCCGAGGGATTGTGAATTGGCCCCCTGTTTAAAAAGTTTGAGGATCCCATTGTTCAGAAAGAACCTAAAAGGAGGGAGGAGGCGGATCTCTAGCCGAGGAAGAAGATGTCCCTCCGGGCAAGAAAGTGTGCACCTCACTCGGCAGTGATAGATCTAGGTCTCCAATTGCAGCAGCCCACCCTTGGAGATTATAATTGCTTTACCGAATACACTGGATACCCTTCCTTTTGCCTCAGATGCCAGGAAGATGTAATCTTTCAGGCCTGAGGAGGAGGAGGAGTGGGGAGGGAGGAAATGAGAAGAAGGTCCCTTCTCTGAATTGGAAACCATTATCATCATCCTGTACCACTTTTGTATATGTGCAGAAGAGTATGCCAAAAGCAACTTGCCATTAATGCCCCCATCAAAGAAGCAATGGAAAAAGCCCCTTCCCCACCAGGTCCCTCAGCTCATGACAAGATTTCCTATTAGGTGTTGTGATTATTGTGTTCCCAGCGAGGAGCTGAAGTGGGGGGAGGGGGCATGGGTAAAGATGTGGATGAACTGGAGAAACTTTAAAGGAAATGATCTGTTGGTTAAAATATTTGTGGCACCAATAAGAAGGCACACAGAATGATCATTTGAATCACATAATTTTTCATAAGTTTATTAGTGTCATGTTAGAAGAAAAATCAGGTCCAGTTCCAAGCCAGGAGAAAGACACTGGAAATAAAATCGAGGTTGGCTGCAAGGAGAGAAGGTCTGTTTATTTGGATGCCAGAAACTTTAGTCACAGAAGCATGTTTCTGGGGTGGCTGACAGAATGGGTTGGAATTGGTGAGCTTTGCCAGCTTGCCTAATTGTGTTGCTTATTTGGGGTCTCTTTGCTTATGAATAGATTGGCCCAGTCTTTCTGAATGGATACAAACTCTCCATTCCAAAAGACCAGTCTTCCCTGCTTGAAGCTGTTTTCCTATGGCAGGAAAACGGGGGCTGTTTTCTGTAGCAGTTTGTCCCACTCCTCAGATACAAGACAGATGTTTGTCTTGGTATTTTGCAAAATGAGGACAATCATCCTTCTGAAATCATTCAGATATGCCTGATAGTAGCAGCAGTTTTTTAAAAAAATAATTTTGTATTAAATATTTTTATTAATTGTAATTATTGGATTTAGGACCAATTTAATAGTTTATTGTATTTCTTGCAAGCTTCCCAGAATTATGAGAATGAACAGCAAACAATGGATGTATTAGAGACAGATAAAATTTAAGAACATGACCCTTTTAGTATTTAATTTTTACTAACTCTTCAACATCCAGAACAAAGGGACAGGGTCAAAAACAGCTGTCACATCACTTCTAAGTGCCACAAGCACTTCATTCTTTAGCCATGGAGGTCCCTGAAGGACTGGGGCAGTCAGAGCCCAAAATTTCAATGGAAAGTACAAACTGCTGCTAACTAAATATGCATTTTGGAAAATAGGCTGGAATACCAATTTCTCAAGTAGTCACACTGATAAACAGGACAAACAGACATGATTCAGCATATTCCAGCCTTTCAAGATCCAGTGATTCATACTTGTTACATTATTATCACCAGTGATATAACCTTGGATGAAATGCCATGAATCACAGAGTCATTTAGTCCCATTATTGGTAGAATACTTATATCACTTTTCCCCCATTCACCCTCACAATGGTAAGTTGACTAATATCTATACTATTTTATGCAGATGCTGCTGCACAGCTGCAGATATTAACAAGGCTGAGAAGAGTTGCGAGATCATTGACCCATTTTTGTAAGGAACACTAATTTAAAAAAATAGAATTATGAAGGGGAAAGCTAATGTGGTTTCTGAGATGTTTTTAAAGTAACAGCTCTTAAAGGCACATTAAATAGAGTAGATTCTCTATCTGCACCTTGTACCACAGGATTCCTGGAGACGATAATAGGCTATTGTACTTCTCAAAGGATTCTCAATACAGAATTACAAATAGAATATAGTAAACTCTTACCCAGAACACAGTAAGGATATCCTTAAAAAAAATTAAACTAGCATTGTATCTTGACCAAACTACAAAGATAGAATTTTGTAGAACTTTCACATAATTGCAACTATGTATCTTGCTGGAGGGTAAATTCCAAAAAACCTTGATGCTACATGGGATTGTGAAGGCATGCTCATGTTTTGCTTTATTTTAATTTTCACCAAGAAATTTTTGATGAGGTACTAATACCTCTTTTTAGCCTATTGCCTGGATAGACAGAATAATCTAATGTTCATCTTCTTTTGGTGGATTAAAAGATCCTAAAACAACTCTCGCCATTGCTAAATTTGTAACTGTAGGATTTATGTGTTGCCAAATGCAAATTAGATTAGGCAAAATTACAGGCCTTTTTATTTTGCATCATATATTGTGTTCTATATTGTCTGGTTTGGGCCCACAATAAAGATGCCTAACTTGACATTCATGTGATAGTTGCCATTGTTCATCTGTCATTGCTTAATTTTCTTTGTCCATATCCCGGCTGTGTGTCCAGAATCTTTTGTCCAAAGAATAGAATGTTAACTTATAGAACACATTCCCTTTTCTATTTCTAAATATGACATTTTTAGAAGAGTGGCATTATAAAAGTTTACACTCTCTTGTTTCAATGTGTTTGCACCCACATATTTTTTCCAGATTTTTAAAACTCTAACCCTGTTCACTAGAAGCATACCATACCAGTAACAGCACATCAGAAGAAAAGGTTTTATTTTTCTCAAAGAAAAAAGCAATATAAATATTAGAGTATAAAACTTGCGTGTTAACACATCAATATCAGTTACATGGATATAAGAAGGGTATAAGCATATATATAATATATAAGTATAGCTCAATATTAGACACATTGGAGGGACAAGTAAGTGTGTTTCAGTTCACATACAATTAAAAGCACAATGAACACACATGAAGATGATCCAAAAGAATATAAAATACTGATGTTCACTATTCAATTATTAAGATTAAACAAATAAAAAAACACACATCACTAGGCACTACTACACTATTTTCAGGTGTAGATGAAAAAATAAACAAGATTAACTAAGATTCATCTACAGTACTTTGGGAAAGGTCACATGTTAACTATTCGATTACATAAGAAGCTTTAGGCACAATCCAGCTGAGGTGTATCTGCACAAACTGCATTGAGATAAATGGGAGCTGTGTGACAGGAGGACTATTGCGCTCTCATTCATTTAAATGTGGCTCATGTTACAGAACATCCCACTAGTTTGTTGTCTATTTCACTAACTATGTAAACTGTTTCTAGTGCAGTCACCAAAGAAAAAGTTGATGGAGAAGCGTTTGGGATCACTACAAAACCCATATGTAGACAAAAACTTTTTGTAGATAAGTCCTACTTTCTAGAGACAGGGAAAGCATCAAATAGTTCATAAAATGCTCTTAGCAGTGACAACAACACAGCCAATCCGTTTGGGAGGCAACTTTGGAAACTTGTAATATGTTTAGACTGACCTGTTTTGACTATTTCAAGCAAGCTATTTATTACAATGTAAAAAAAAAAGTTCTTGAACTAGTGGTTCACGCTCCATGTTGAAAATATGCTCCTCTGATTCTTTATGGCTCTTTTGTTGCAATAAAGAAAACCATGATAAAGTACAGGAAACTACGATATATCTAGAAAGACAACCAATGTTGCCAAGTAACAGTACAATTTCCTACCTGACTCAGAGTACCATTACATTATCAAATGGGCCAGAGTTAAGAAACCTCACTGGTCCATACTAGGCTATGGAATGATGCTGTTAAAAAGATCTAAATCTAGCAATTTCAAAACATAGTAACACAAAGTGTATTTTTAACATTTTAAGGTCTATTCATATTCAAGAAGAGGTAGTGGTAGGGATCTCAAATTGCCTGATTGCATCAATACAATGTCATTTGTTTAGTATTTATAAAAGTTCAGGAATAAAGTGATTGGCTTTGCAATTTGCCCAGTTCTAATTCCAGTGTACCTTCATTGGACTTGGTCCCTTAGCTTTCCCAAATCAGCCACTTTCTATTTAATATCAAATTGTGAAGACCAACAAGCCAACATTATTTTTTTTTTATACTGCACAGAGAAATGAAATACACAAGCTTCCCAATCTCTCTGAGGAAGGGCAATGCATCTTGTTAGTGAACTTTACTCACAGACAGTGCTGATGTGGGCACTTGAGAGCATATTAACATGCTGTTCATGTCATGCAATAAATTTCCCAATTCAAGCTTGGGTGTGAAGTCAGCTGTCCTGTAAATGTGAAGTGATTTGCATGCAGTTTCATGTGCAGAAAAAAGTGAAGCATTCTATTTTTAATGTTCTACCTATAAGATCAGCAGAGCTCATCCAGTTAACAAAGACATCTCCCTCAGGAGTCAAGCAAAGATATGAGCAGTAGCTCACTATGCTCACAAGTGAATGACTTTTTTCTTCAACTTTTTCTAGAAAACACTTAGTATACATATTGATGTAGATGAGATGTGTTGCCTCTTTAGAGATCACTGTAAATAAATCATGACTGGCAGTGTTCTCTGTCTTTATATCTACGACATGTTTTGTGCATGAAAGTTTTTCCATTGCCATGTACTCCTTGCTTCTCAGAAATTATGACATCAGTTTAATTTTTTTCTGGCCATCCTTGGTTAAATTTATAAAAAAGATAAATGTAGCTGAATCGCATTCTCTTACAATAATACAGGATACACATTTCTTTTAAAACAAAGCAGGAATTAAAGCACTCCCTATCAATATCATAACAAGGATTCCAGCTGAAATGATGTCTAACCCTCCCCCCAAGAACTTCTATCAAAATTTGGAAAAGTGAGAATTTTTGTAAAAATGGAGGAACTTATATAAATAAAAAACTCTGTTCAGAATAATTATTTACAATGAGCAGAGCCCATCCTAAATTTTGTTGATGATGCAGATCTTCAGGAAATAAAATGTTTCAAAGATCTGACACCCTTGCATATTACATTGTCCTCGAAAGATATACACTGTATTTGTTATTATTCAGATATTTTTCTTCATGAATAACAGCAGTACATCTACTCATAAACTTAGATGACAACAATGTACATTCACAATGTTCCATATTTTAAAAAAAGTTTAACCACAAATTCACATTCATCTTCCATCCTAGGCTATGAACTGGGGGAGTGCTGGAAGAGTCTGCCCTTTAGATTTACGTGGAAGTGGCTGTGCTATCCTGTGGATCCTACTTCTTCTCTTTCTTTCCTGACTTCTTCTTATTTCCCCCTCCAGAGGCTGCCGGTTTTCCATCACGTTTGCCAGCGGCGTTGGAGAGAGTAGCAGTGCTTCCAGGGATATACACGTTCTGTCTATAATCAGGAACATGCTGAAGGGTGAATTGGGGGCCATACCTGGTGCTGAGCCCCATGGTACCTGCTGTTGCTCCTCCTCCCAGAGTAGAATTTCCATCTGGGTTAGCTGCAGCGGCGGCGGCAGCTTCTGCAAGAGTATTAGAACAGGAAGAGGGTTAAATAGGTTTTAAAGTAATACTTGAATAATGTTATGTATGTGCAGATTTGGCTGAAAAGAAAATTTTCTCTTCCCTGCAATTCAAAAGGCATACCTTTTAGAAAGGGCTAGATTATACAAGCATATCTAATTCTAAGCACATTTCTAACATCTGCTTGAAACATGGAGAACAATTGCCTGAATTCCCTAAAAAGAAAATCCTGTATTATTAGTTCCTCAGGTGAGAGAAGTAACATATATTGCTTCTCCAATAATTATGTATTCCAGTTTCTGGAGCTTCCAAAAACATATAAAGAATCCTCATGGTCACGTGAGCAAAATTTAGATGCTTGGCCAACTGACTCATATTTAGGATAGTTGTTGTGTCCAAGGGTCATGTGATAATTGTTTATGACCTTCTGACAAGCAAAGTCAATGGGGTTTCACTTAATAGTCACTTAACAACCATGTTACAAATTTAACAACTGTGGCAAGAAAGGTTGTAAAATGGGGCAAAGTTCACTTACCAAATGTCTGTCTTAACAATAGAAAATTTGGGCTCCATATTGGCCATAAGTCAAGGACTACCTGTACCAATTTATAACTTTCTAAGCCTTAAATTTCAATATGCATAATATTATTTATTTTACAGTGCAATTAAAACACAAAAGGACTTCTCAGACTTACAGTTGGTTCCAAATGATCCAATTTCATTATATGGATATATTTAATATAATATTTTATATAAAATGCAGTACTATTGACTAGTTTAACAAGAGACATTTTAGCTTTCTTGCCATCAAGCATAAATCTTTTACAGTATATTTTATACTAATTTTAAAGGGTTGTGAGGAAGTATTGGGAATGCAGTACTAAAATAGGCTAGATTATTTGTAGAAACTGACCATTTGCTGATGCTAAAATCATAGCCTGAAGCATTTCAGTATCAAACTGATTGTTTGGCCAAGTTCCGTTTTCATCTCCATTCTGCGATCTAAGAAGAAACAAAGCAAATGAAATATATAAAAAGTACAATAGAAAGCAAAAAGAAAAATGTACATTTTTATTGATTGATTTTATTCATATGCTGCCTTGATTTCTTCACATAATTTGTATCAAAGCTTATTCTTAGTACTCATACAAAGACCCCGCCCCAATAAGTAGATTAACTTCTCTGATATTAATATTACTTAGATAAACTAATTCACCAATACACATTAGTTCTTGAAAAAGTATGCATCTTATACATTATGAACTTTTTGAAATGGGTAGTTCTATTATGTCAGATTCAAAGTTCCTATTTGATTTCCTTTTATGTAGTTTCATCATACTTTGTGGCTGTATCATGGCAGCCATGACAATTTGTTTTTTTTAAAATCACTGATACATGATTGCATATAGAAATGCAATAGGGTGAGTGGGAGAACAGATTCAGAAAGTGACAGATCCATCCATAAGTCAAACCTTTGCAATAAGTCCCCTTCTGACTGAAGAGATGATGGTCTATATTACCCTTTTATATCTGCAATTGTCAAGCTAGTTATTCCCCATCTTGTACTTATGCATTTCATTTCTTTTTTCTAATTGAAGAAATTTAAATTTCATTCTATTATTTTCAGGTCACTTTTCTAACCTATCAATTGCTTTAAAATTTGTTCAGTAATGTGGAGCAGTAGCTATCCCACCAAGATGCATCACCTGCACATTTGTAAGAATTCCCTCATCTCTTTACAGAAGGGTTTAATAAACATAAGGATATTAATATCTTATACGTATACATTAAGGGACAACTCCACTAGGAAGGGACATAAGAAATGCAATGAACCAGCTGTCAAATAGTAAGCAGACAGATTCAAATAAAATACACATTGAATTATTTAAAGGTAAAAGGGAAAGGGCAGCTAAAGTGCTAACAGCTCTGTGTCATCAAATATGAAACAAAACCATATGACCTAGACCAGTACATATACCAATGTGACAATTATCAAAGCATTACATACTGAACTATTACAGTTTTTACTATAAACTAGGTTCAATGGTTGGTACTGCAGTATAACAAATAAAATAAAATAAATCCATTTGCTTAAGATCTTTCAAAGAAGAATGGCGAAACACATGAAATTAAAAAATGCCACATAAACAAGCACGTTTCAGAAATGTCTGAAGACATGAGATAACAAAAGTAATGAAGAGAAATCAAGAAGAGGCACAAATATGTGATCTTTTCTTAAATCTGGATGATTTCCTTAGGATATCTTGTGAGGTGAGTGAGACCCAGCTGGTGTCTTTAAGTGGTGAAAATGAATATAAGGATCTGGGTGTGCTCTTTCTGGAGAGCTTAAATGACCTCTCTGCTAAAAGGTTTCACTTTTTGAGCAAGAGTTGACTGTTGATAGTTATCATTGCATTTTAACTATTTTAATTCCTCAAGGTCCTCTCTGACACCCTGCCTGATTTGTAACTCCTGCTTGCAGGTATTTTTAATCTAACGATTGGTATTTAACCAATCTAAATTGGTATCTAATGATTGGTATCTTTTTGCAAGCAAAGAAGCTTTTTGTATTTTTGTATAGCTAATCCTTGAATTACAACAGTTCATTTAGTGACCATTTAAAGTTACAATGGCACTGAAAAAAGTGACCGTTGCAGCTTCCCCACTGTCATGAGAGGCCAGGTGAGGAGAAGCGCCCCTTGATATGAATGATGATGAGTTGGCCATGCCCACCCAGTCACATGACCACCAAGCCACGCCTGCCAACTAATCCATGCCCAAAGAACCGGTTGTTAAAAAATTTGAATCCCACCCCTGACAGTACGTTAACCAAACAGAGAAATATGGATAGGGTGTTGAGAGGTAAAACATCATAGAGAGGGAGGCAGTCACAAATTTAGACAAGATTGTGAAAGTTAAGGACATTATAAGACAATGAAAATCAGAATAGATAAGATAATAAGCACAACAAAGAATGTTTTTTCTGTGCCAACTCAGAAAGCTCAGACTACCCAAGGAGCTGCAGATACAGTTCTACAGAGGAATTATTGAGTCTGTCACCTGCACCTCTATAACTGTCTGGTTCTGCAACCAAACAAGACAAACACAGACTTCAATGGATAATTAGAACTGCAGAAAAAACAATTGATACCAATCTGCCTGAGGACCTGTATACTGCACAAGCCAGAAAGAGGGCTGTGAAAATATCTACAGATCCCTCACATCCTGGACATAAACAGTTTCAACTTCTACCCTCAAAACGACGCTATAAGGCACTACACATCAGAACAACTAGACACAAGGACAGTTTTCCCCCATGCCATCACTCTCCTAAACAAATAATTCCCACAACACTGTCAAACTATCTAAAAAGGCAGTATCATTCTCATCTTCCTTATTACCTATCTCCTTATGACTATAACTTTGTTGCTTGTATCTTATGATTTATCTTGTTTACTTAGTATCTTAATATGATTTATGTTGATTGCTTATTTAGTATCCATGACTCACTAAGTGTTGTATCTAATGTTTTATGATGAATGTACTGAATTTTACAATGACTATGTTAATGATATCACAATTGCTGTATGTACATTGAGAGCTTATGCATTGGAAACAAATTCCTTGTATGTTTAATCACACTTGGCCAAGTGTGATTAGATATTAGGTAAATATTGCCATGAATGCTGGATGAAGAGAAGAAAAAGGGGAAAAGAAGGAATCTCTTATAAACTATGAGCCACAGTAGTGCAGTGCTTTGTCAGCATTTGACAGAAAGAGCTTCATAATTGGTTGTAAGCCACCTAGTTTAGCTTGGGTGGTGCAGTGGTTAGAATGCAGTACCGCAGGCTGCTTTTGCTGACTGCTGGCTGCCTGCAATTTGGCAGTTAGAATCTCACCAGGCTCAAGGTTGATTCAGCATTCCATCCTTCCAAGGTGGGTAAAATGAGGACTCAAGATTGTTTGGGGCATTTTTCTGACTCTGTAAACCACTTAGAGAGGACTGTAAAGTGGTATATAAGTCTAAGTGCTACTGTTATTATACAGACCAAGAAACTTAAAACATCATAAGGCTGCAGTATAATACAAAATCTTACAAAAGTAAAGGATTTTACAACTGAAAAGAAGTAAACTGTGTTATCATTGCTCTTTTCACATCAACTGACTCAAAATTAGAGACAATAATAAAACTGCTCCACAACTCACCCAACCGTGGGGTACAATGGGCAGTCTATAAAGGTTATAAATAAATAAACCTACTAAAATACAAAAATCGAAATACAACAAAATTCTAAAATGAAGTAACCTATGCTTCACTACACAGTTTCAAATCCAAATAGATTAAAAGGATTCTGATGGGATCCCCAAACTCAAGACTCTGCCAGATGCAACAAAATGAAAATATAATCTACTGTATTGAAGGATGTCTTATAATATTTTATTTCTGTTTTTGTAGGCTTTAGTCAACTTGTTCTTTGTGCTTTTGCTACTATAGAAGATTTGGGTTTATGTGAGTTGATCCTTCAGTGAAGCCTGTGGTTTGCTGTTGGTTTGTCTGCTAATGAGAATGTTGAGGGAAGGAGATTTTTTGTTCTCTTGTTTTCCGAACTTGATTGTATGAATTGTGCTGCTTATTAGACGTTATGTGTATTCTAATTGTTTATTTTTATTTTGGTTAATTTATGATCTACATAGCATATCTACATTTTGAATTAACAGAGGGATGGGTCATGGGTGGTGACAATGTGACTGTGTCAAGGAGCTATTAATTTCTCCTCCAAGTCACTGTGATGCTGGAGAAATCAGGAATAAACTATTGCTTGACTGTAAGAATTACAGAATCAGAGGGCTGGAAGGGACTTGGGAGGTCTTCTAGTCCAACGCCCCTGCTCAAGGCAGGTGACCTTATACAGGTAGTCCTCAACTTACTACCACAATTATGCCCCAAAATTCTGTTGCTAAGCAAGACAGTTAAGTGAGTTATTTTTATTACTTTTTGCCACAATTGTTAAATGAATTACTGAAGTTGTCAAGTTAGTAACACAGTTGTTAAGTGAATCTGGCTTCCCCATTGACTTTACTTGTCAGAAGATTGCAAAATGTAATCACACAATCCTGGAACACTGGAATTATCATAAATAATGTCAGTTGTCAAGTATCCAAATGTTGATCACCTGACCATGGTGATGCTGTAATGGTCATAAATGTGAAAAACGGTCATAAGTCACTTTTTTCAGTACTGTTATAACGTTGAATAGTCACTAAATGAATGGTAGTAAGCCAAGAACTACCCATATCATCCAAACCAAATAGTTGCCCAGTCTCCAGCAATGATCTCCAGCAAAACCTCCAGCAATGGAAACCCTACAACTCTGGGAGGCAAACTGTTCCATTGATTAACTGTTCTGTCAGGCAATTTCTCCTTGGTTCTAGGTTGGCGCTTTCTTGAACAAGCTTCCACCTATTACTTCTTGTCCTGCCCACAGGTGCTTTGGAAAATAAGATGACAACTCCTCAAGTACTGGAAAACAGCTATCACGTTATCCCTAATTCTTCTCTTTGGTGGTTAGACATACCTAATTAATTTCCTGTTCACAAATCCACCTCTTGATTATTTTTTCAGGATTTTCCCAGGTATTGATATGAAGCTGATCTGCCTATAGTTTTTTTATCTATGTTTTCCCCCTTTTTGCAGATTGGAACCACATCAGCTCTTTTTCAGTCTTCTGATACAGAAGTACAGAAGTTGTGCTACAGAAGTTCTGAAAGATTTCATTCAGTGGTTCCAAGGTCACATCTGCCAGCTCCTTCAGAATCCTGGGATAGAAACCATATGGTCCAGGTGATTTGTACTCATTCATGGTGGATAATATTCTCTTAACTAATTCCTTGCCTATTTTGACTTGCATACCTGTTCTATCTCCTTTGGTGCCCTGTAAGAAGTTGGGCTATTTCTTCCTTTTGCATAAGGATAGAAAGCAAAGAAGGTGCAAAATCATTTCTGAGGGCTCTAAGTATTTCTGTTCCCTTCACATCATTCCATTCTACATACACAGTGAAAAAAATTAAGCATCTTTTAAAATAAGTTTACCTTTTACATATCTATTACAGTGCCATTATCTATAGTGTTTCAAAGTTCCAAAGGAAGAATTTAGAAATTTACAAAGGCTCAAATATGGAAAAGAGAAAAGTTCAAATGGCTATGTTCTACCCTAGATAAATAAAAATCTATGCCAAATTCTTCTGCTGTGCCTCAGAGTTTTATGATTATGGATAGCTTTAACTGATGTAGAACAAAAAGGAATAAGTAAATAAAGCCAATACTTCTCATCACTGCCTGTATAATTGAGAAAAGTTTCATCTATTGACCCCTTTTCAAGCACACAAATGTGTTTGTTATCCAGAAGTGGAAGGGAAAAGGTTAAACTACTGAACTTCTGATTGCAAAGTATTATTAAATATACAGTTGATAAATAAACACTTTGGAGACAACTGTTACACTTCTGATATAGGCAATTTCTACATTAAGTTATTTACTTTTATTTTGCATATTCTATTCTGCATGGTTTTGCTTTTAAACAGTTGAAACATTTCTGAAAAGAAGAAGTTTTGAATAACAGAAATAGATTATGTATTACATATACTGGTATATACTTACATATACTTACATATGTAAGATCATAATAAAATATATAAAATGGACTTTCCAACAACAGCCAAAATATTTTTATTTATTAAAACCCAGGTGCAGAAAGTTTAACTAATAATACTAATACATACTTAGCATTTCTGTAGTATGTTCAAATATTCAAAGCACTGAATATATTGATCAGATTATATTTTTACAGTGGTAATGGAGTAGAAATAAAGAACTTGTAGTCCTTCCAATTTTGCTCAAAGTAAGCAACAACCCCAGCCAGCTTGGCCATTCTCAAAAGAATGCTGGAACCTGTTTAACAAAAATCACAGAGCTACAAATTCCCCATGTGATACAAAGTAAATCAGTTTTATGTCTATGGAGGTTCTCAAATATCCAGGTCATGGTTGTCCCAAAAGTGCTTTTTCCAAAAAGCAACTGGACTTTCTTGGGTTTATTTTCTTTGAAACATTACACTTCTCATTCAAGAAGCTTCTTCATTTCTAACTGACTGGTGGGGAATATTTATATAAATCTTTCAATTTCTCACCATTCAGTTAGAACTAAAGAAGTTTTTTGCATGAAAAACTTGTTCTTAAAGAAAAAAGAAAGAAAGTCCAGTTGCCTATTGGAAAAAGCACCTTTGGGATAAATCAGTTTTACTATCTCAAGATTGCAAGTAAGAAGACTGACCCATTAAGGAATAGCAGAGATGAATTCTGAACCAGGAAGATAAGAGTGCTGTTCAATCTATTAGTTAGTACATAACAATAACTCTCTCAAAAAGTATATGGTTTCCACTGGCCCAAGTAAAAGAACTAAAAATGGACAAGTAGAAAAAGTAGCCCTGCTGGTACCAAGAAAATTTGAGAACCAAGTGTTTGAGAAGAAAAATCTTCAATCTATTATCAGACAATATTGTGACTGAGACCAAACATACAAAATGGGCTGTCATCTAGAAGATGGGACAGAATTGTTCCGAGTTTTCCAAAAGGCAAGAAATGAAACAGTAGTATAAATTACAATAAAGTAGATTGTGGCTGGATATAAAAAAAAATAGAAGCTAGGGTTGTTCAAGAATGGAAGAGACAACCTATGGAAGCAATGTCATTCTTTCATTAGAAGAGGCTACAGAAAGGAATGTCTGCACTTAACAGGTGACCTTAGATCTCTATGTTCACTTCTAACCCAAAGCTGGGAGCAAGAGAAGAAAAATTGTTCAAGGCAACAAAATTTGCATTCAGAATCTCAGGACTTCCTCCAACATCTAGAGTTTTCATTTTTTTAGACTACACTTTTCTATTATATCTCGTTGAAAGGAAAAAAATATCTATCTGAAACTTTTCGTGTAAATATTTGAACTGGCAAATAATAAAATTTAGTTTCCTATATTATTTCTTACTGTTCATTAGTAAAATATGTTGAACAATTTTAGCTTCATTTTTGTAACTAAGTAGAAAAAATATTGGAATGCACACCCACACACGCACGCATGCTATTTTGGGATCATGCACAATCAAAAATGAGTTTACACAAAAACCAAATTTCACACTTTAATGTTCTATTTGATAAAGATCTAGAAAAGTTTATTACTTCCCAAGATATTTTCATGTACTTTGATAGCACAAAAGTAACATCCATTTATAGAGTACCTTATCTGTGTAAAGTAACTTACCCACTAGTTCCTGGTCTCTGAGCCTGAGAAAAACGCCAGTCTGTATTAGGTTGTGCTTGCTGGAAAAAAAAAACACAAAGAGGAACATATTTCTATTTTTCAATTTAAGCACAACATCCTCATTATTACTACAGAATATTAAACATAAACTGTAACATATGGTTAGTTTATGCTTTAAAAGTTTGAATTATAAACAATTTGCACAAGTATACAATGACATTTTCAAGCTACTTCCAAACAGGAATGCATGATTAAATAGTCTGCTTAAAAATGCTAGTTTTTTTTTTATTCAACAGCACTTCAGTATCACCACAATCTGAAATATTCTGTAATCTACTAGAAAAATCATTCAGAAAAGTATTCCATAAAAATACATAGATGAAATAAAAGATGAAACAAACCTGAAAAAGCATAATTGAATATCACCAATAATGATTAGTAGAGGACTGATCCTGAAAGAGAATTGTTTTACTACATTTTGTTCAATAGAATGTGGATGGGTACAGGAAAAAAGAGGGAGGGGAGAAAGGGGGGGGGAGATTCAATAGAAACCTGTTACATATAGATATAGATAGATTTACCAATTACAATTGGGACCCTCAGCTCAATCAGCAAGTGATATGGTTGCAAAGTGCACTTAACTAATGTTAGTTCATCCGTTCTAGTGGCAGTCATTAAACAAATTACTGCAGGTTGTTAAGCACAATGCCATGTGATCATGACTTTTGACTTCCTGCCAGCTTCCCCATTGACTTTGCTTGTCCGAAGCAAAGGTCCCAATCAATGTTGCAAATAACAATCACCAGACTGTGGGATACAGCCAGAGGTGGTATTCAGCCAGTTCTGACAGATTCTGGAGAATCAGTAGCGGAAATTTTGAGTAGTTCAGAGAACCGGTAAATGTCACCTCTGGTTGGCCCTGCCCCCATCTATTCTCTGCCTCTCGAGTCCTCGCTGATCAACTGGGTCTTCTTTTGTTGCCCTGCACAGGAGAATGGAGCTGGAAAGCAGGTTAGTGGGGTGGGGACGGAATGGGGATTTTGCAGTATATCTTTCCCCTGGAGTGGGGTAGAAATGGAGATTTTACAGTATCCTTCCCCTGCCACACCCACCAAGCCATGCCCACCAAGCCACACCACGCCCACCAAGCCACACCCACAGAATCAGTAGTAAAAAATTTTGAATACCACCACTGGATACAGCAACCATCATGAGTGCTAGTTGCCGGGTCCCCATGCTGTCATCACATGACCACAGGGATTCTATGACAGCCACAACTTCAAGGACTGGTTATAAGTCTCCTTTTTCAGCAACATTTTAATGTCAAATGGTTGCTGAAGGAGTAGTTGCTAAGTAGGGATTACTTGTAATAATACTTAACATACCCACCACATTATTAAAAGATATCCAATAAGTAAATCCCCCCTGCTACTACAGCAATTAAGATCATGTATATATTACTTCATATATGTAAAACTTCTTTTAAAGTTCTTTTTTAAAAGAAATGCCTGTATAGCACTATACAGCCAATACATAAAATAATAAAACAAAAAGGCTTCCTGGATTCTGTTCAGGAAAATAAAGTTCATAGAATTTGCAATTCTTTCTTTGAGGCAACAGCATGTAACTGGTAGACCGAAACCAAACTTTGTAGATTCCAGTTCTATAGCACTGTAATTTGGCAGCAAATAACAATGTGATGATTAGTGTGGGCTCATGGATGGTCATTTTAACAGTGAAAATGGTTACCTTCTGAAAAAGCAATAAAATAAGCAACTATCTTCCCCCAAGGATAAAACTGTTATCCCTGAATATGGGGTAAAGTCTCATAAAGCAGACTTAGAAGGCAATTTTAAAGACGTGAACTCCAAAGCAAAAGGAAGATATTTGCCCTGTCTTGAGCATTTGAGTCCAGGTTCCTGAATTTCTTTGGATAAATAATTTTGTATGTTTGTATAGTAAGCATTAAAATTTTGTAACAAAGATGATTCTGAATACTGCTTAACAATCATACAGAGTTCTAGCAATGTGAGAAAGAAAGGAGAATTTTATGAAATCACCAAAACTTTAGAAATCACAACCCCTTGCTAAAAATGAAGCATCAAGCATATTTGCAAATCTCCAACTGGAAGCAAGGAAATAAACACCTATCCTATCAGGGAACCAACGATAGACTGGGAAAGGATCATTTAGGTCACTGCACTTCATTCAGTTCATAAATCCAAATTAAAGCCTCCTTGAGAGATAGCTGCCTAGCCTCTAATATTGAACTTGACTTCTGGTTAAGAAGTTTTTCTAATACTCAGCAGGAAACAGTGTTCCTGAAACTTCTGTTCTGCACTCACTCCCAAATTGGTTTTATAAAATGGTTTGCTTGGTTTAGTCTGAAATGAAGTTAAGGTAGTTAAATTTAGTTAACATTTAAATATGTCCAGAACTTTTCTCCCAACCACTTGCTGCACAAATAACTGATAACTGAAGGAACTTAGGGAATTTCACCTGCTAATTTTTATTCATCAATAAATGTGCTACCTGTTCCTTATCTAGTAACAGCACCAAGAACTTTCTATTAAAGGGCAAACAATTCATTGGATTATTTTAATACTTTTTTATTGTTAATTTTATTCAGCTTTTTGAATTTTCTAGATATGATTTCTGCATTTAAACTTACTTAGCTGCACTGAATGCAGGTAGTCCTTGACTTATGATATTTGTTTAGTGACCATTCAAAGTTAAAACAGCGCATGAAAAAATGATTTATGACTGGTCCTCATACTTATGACCATTGCAGCATCCCTGCTGTCACATGATCACAATTTGGGCACTTGGCAGCTGGCATGTACTTAATATGGTTGCAGCATCCCAGGATCAGGTGATTGCTACTTGCAACCTTCCCAGCCATCTTCCAACAACTAAAGTCAATGGAACAAGTTAGTTTCGCCTAATGATCCTCTGATTTGCTTTGCAAATACTGTAAAAAGATAGTAAAGTTGGGTGTGATTCACTTAATTACCACATCCCTTAACAACAGGAGTTCCTGCCCCAAATTGAGTCATAAATCAAGGACTACCTGTAAAAGAATCAGAATAGCAGTTACCAAAACCAGGATCACTGACAAAACAAATTTCATTCTCTTTTAATACAGATGTTTCACTGAGGAGTAAAGACAGTTGTCAATGTGGAGACAAATGGCAACACAGGTCATTTATAACAAAGCAATCAAAATCATTTGCAAAAAAACAGTACAAAACTATTCCCCATCCATGAAGGTCAAATAAAAGTTCATGGCAGAGTTTCTGTTAAATATAGACTGCAAATATATGTATATCCCTATAGATATATATTTATATAATGTTCCAGCATTGTCTTGGTGAATCTTACCGCATCAGAGGGGTTCTGCAAAGCACTGCCTGTGTGTTCAAAGGCAAGAATGCTTTCTGCTGTAGTGGAATGACTGAAAGGTTTAACAAAAAAGAAATCTCCCTGCTCAGACATAGGGGAGAAACAAGACTTGTAGTTCTGAGCTCCAGCTCCACTCACTTCAAGGTATCTTATAAAGCCTTCTGGATTTGGATACCCACTGATATTTATGGTAGACTTCCGATCTGTCCTCCTACTACACCAGAGTGATACGATCCAGTTTGGGATACAGAAGCCAGATTTGAAGCATCTGGCTCCGACAATAATCATCATTACACAAGACACTAGAGAGATAGCCACAAGAGAGATGATAAGATAAAGAGTTAAGTTCTGAGCCCTGGCAGGTGACTTGGGGAGAAGGTCCAACGACTTGGTAAAATCCTGTGCAGCATTATCCTCTGAGGAGATTATTAGAATCATTGATGCTGAAAGAGATGGCACCCCATTGTCCTTCACTTCTACCACCAACCGGTGAGAAACCCCAGGTTCCCTCAGTGTCCGAGTGACACGGATCTCTCCTGAGTGGTCTTCTACTTTGAAAGCATTCACCTCATTTGTCTCATGGAGTAAATGGTACGAAACCCATGCATTATGGCCACTGTCAGCATCGACAGCCACTACTTTAGTCACCAGATATCCAGGTTCTACTGGGATTAGAAGTGACTGATGAAAGGCAGAACCTTTGGGAACTTCTGGGTGTACAATTACAGGTGCATTATCATTTTGATCCACTATGAACAGATGAAGAATGCTTGTGCTGCTTAGCGGTGGGAAACCTGAATCTTTCACCTCTACTGAAACTTGAAACACTTTTTCTTGCTCATAATCTAGAACCCTGGAGGTATAAATACTGCCATTCTCTTGATTGATGTGGAAATAGGTTGAGATGGGCAAGCCATGATTTCCGGTATCCACAATGGAATAAGATAGCTTGGAATTGACACCTACATCTGGATCACATGCTGACACAGAAAAGACTAGAGTTCCAGGAGATGTATTTTCCTCCACATGGGCTGTGTAGGAAGAGATGGAGAAAGTGGGTGCATTGTCATTTATATCTGAAACTTGAATTAATATATTTTTCTCAGTTGACTTTTGAGGTATTCCAGAATCTGTTGCTTTAATTGTGATACTGTATCCAGCAGTTTTCTCTCGATCAAGTGGGCCATTAGTCACTAGTGAATAATGTCCTTTAAATGAAGACACCAATTTAAATGGTACATGTCTTGGAATCTCTAAGCGGACCTGTCCATTTTCCTCAGAATCGTTATCCTTTGCTTGGATAAGTGCAATGACTGTTCCTATAGGTGCATCTTCTTGTACTGAGCTAGAAAGAGTGGTCATCATAATCTCTGGACTGTTGTCATTAACATCAACAAGTTCTACTCTAATATTGCAATGACCTTCCATAGCAGGGGATCCCTTGTCTTTAATGTAGATGGCTATTTCATATGCATTGGCTTCTTCATAATCCAGTAAAACTTTTGTCCTGATTTCCCCTGTTTGAGAGTCCAGACTAAACACATCGAGAAGTTTTAGCTGCACACTGCTGCTGGATTTAAAGAAATATTCAACTTCTCCATTAGGTCCTTCGTCTAAGTCAGTAACATTGAGTTTTGTTACTATAGTCCCCACCTGGATATTTTCCTCCAAATAAACCTTTGATACAGGTGGTTCACACACTGGGGGATTATCATTTGCATCAAGAACATGGACTGTTACTTGAACAGTGCCTGACTGAACAGGATTTCCACTATCTAGGGCAGTCAGGATTAAATGATGGGTAGCTGCTTTTTCCCTGTCCAGGAGCTTTTCCAATACAATTTCAGGTATTTTGACCCCATCTCCTCTGATATTGATACTCAAAGCAAAATGTTCATTTGGACTGAGCTCATAGGTTGCAATGGAATTGGAACCAGTGTCTTGATCTTCTGCAACTTCCAGCCGTAATCGGGTGCCTAGATTGGCAACCTCAGTGATTTCTAAAGAAACAGTGTCCTTTGGGAATCGGGGAGCATTGTCATTCACATCCAGTATCTCCACCTCCACCCGGTTAAGTTGCAATGGATTCTCCAGCACCAACTGAAAAGGAAAAGAACACCTGGGGCTGGAACTACACAGCATTTCCCGATCTAACCTCTCATTGATGAGTAACATGCCGTCTGCCAGGTTCACTTGGAAATATTGGCGCATTCCCTCACTGACCAGCTGTAAGCGGCGAGCACGCAGAGTCCTCACATCTACTCCCAGATCCTTGGCAATATTCCCCACGTAAGAGCCTGGATCCTGGTCCTCTGGGATGGAGTAGTGAATCTGCATGGAGATGAGAGCTGGCAGGGAAAACACTGAAGCTAAAAATAACAGCGGCTGCCATTGCAAATTCTGACTGCTATCCATGCCTCGCTTGCTTCAGTCAAAAGGATTGCAGCTTCTGGCTGCTGCTGCTGCTGCTGCTGCTGCTTCTTCTCGCCGGAGGTTGGGGGAGGTGGGTGGGTGCGCTTTTTCTCTTTTGCTGCTTCTAGATACACTCTGTCCCTCCCACCTGGCGACTCTGGGATGACCCGAGAGGGGCAGTGCAGCCCCCCAAAAAGGATGCTGCAGCTTGAGAGGGAAGGGAGAGGAGGGGGATTTTCAAGCAGCAGCAGCAGCAGCAGCAGCAGCAGCAGCTCCTTGGCAAAATGGAAAACAGGAAAAAGAGCTCTGAAATGGATACTAGCAATCCCCTCCTCCGTGACAGCACTGAAGTCCCTTTCTCAAAATACATCAACCCCCCCCCCCCCCAAATAATTTGCCCATCTCTGAGCCACCATGCTCCTCCCTCCCCCTCCTTTTCCAGCACAGCAAAGAGCCGTCCCAAGGGTGCTGTTGGCCAAAAGAGCTTGCACAGACTGCCTGGCTGAAAAGGCTGAAATCAAAAGTGTACACAAAAGGCAGAGACAGTTGCTTAGAATATACATAATCTCAGAAAAAACGCAAGACAACCTCCCAGCCTTGATTCCCAAAAGCAATTGGAACAACATAGATGCCTATGAAGTGACTGAATGAGTGAGTAAAAAGCCTATATGCAGCCTGCATATATTCAGAAGGCTTAAGGATTGGCTTGTGTAGGTTAACAGTATTTATCCAATAGATTATTCACTGATTTCCCCACCCTTATCTCTTGTGCACAAGAGACTATAAGATGTGTATGGAACCCAGGGTTTAAGCAGAAAATTCTCACCTTATGAAAGAAGCTGGCTTCAGTTAGATTGCTGCAAGAGGCTGCCCTAAGAGTCAAATTAGGTTTCATAAACACAAACTCGCTGATATCTGATACAGGAGAAAAGCAAGATCTGTATCCTCTGACAGGAGGTCCTGAAGTGGCTACCTGTACTCCAATCATGGCATCTCCAGGGCTCAGCTGATAATGATAATGTCCCGTCATGTGATCTGGGACATTTTCAAGTCCACTAGCTTTACTTCCACAGCATCCAAAGATAGTAGATGTTGCAAGAGCATCACAGTGAAGACATCTTGCTCCCAGGGCCACCAAAGCAATCAACATGATAGTAGAAATTGCTGCCAAACAGATAATAAGGTATAAAGTCAATGTGGGCGGTCTCTCACTTTCCACAGAGCGTGCACTTAACCCTAGAAACACTTCAGAAGTGCTCTCTTCCAGGAATATGATCACAGTAACTGAGGTAGACATGGAAAGTTCTCCTGAATCTTTGACAACTATGACTAGTTCCTGGGTAGGATTGTCTAGGTCCTGTATTATTCGCAGAGTCCTCATTTCCCCACTGTGAAGACTTATGCTAAACAGAGTGAGATCTGTGGCTTGTTTTAGATGATAAGAGAGCCAAGCATTTTGCCCAGAATCCAAATCCACAGCAATAATTTTTGTGATTAAAGCTTTGGCCATAGTAGATCGAGGAATCCTGAATTGTACAACTGAATCTTTCCCAGTGAAAGGAAACTGAACTTTTGGTGCATTGTCATTCTGATCTAGTAGATAAACATGCACCATAACCCTGTTGCAGAGAGAAGGAGAACCACCATCACAAGCTTCCACCTGAAACTGAAAATGATTGGTACACTCATAATCAAAAGAGCTCTCTGCAAAAACTTCCCCATTTGTTGGGTTAATGGAGATGAAAGAAGTGAGATCTTCAATCTGTTCTTGTCCTGGACTGGACAAAACAATGTAAGATAGCTGAGAATTCTGATCTTTATCTGCATCTGTTGCAGAAACCTTAAGGAGAATCACTCCTACTGGATTATTCTCTTCTATGATGACTTCATAAAATGACCTGTCAAACTGAGGTGGATTATCATTAACATCTGCCAGAGTAATGGAGAAAGATGCCTGTTGCAAGAGAGATGGATTTCCTAAGTCAAAGGCACAGATAGTGATATTGTATTGAGAAGAGTTCTCACGATCCAGTTGCTCACCAATGAGCAAGGAATATTGGTGCTCGAAATCCTTCCGAAGTTTAAAAGGAAGATTTTTTGACAAATCACACTGGACTTTCCCTTGATCCCCAGAGTCTCTATCTTTGACATGTATCACAGCAACTACTGTGCCAGGAGGTGCATCTTCACTCATGGAACTGGAGAAAGATGTGAGAATGACTTCAGGGACATTATCATTGACATCTGTCACTTCTACAATAACACTGCAATGCTGTTCCATGGTAGGGGAACCCATGTCCTTAGCTTCCACTTCAATTTCATATATGCTGGCCTCTTCAAAATCAAGAGTCCCTTGAACACGGATTTCTCCTGTGATATTATCAATAGCAAATATTCTGCACAAAGCTTCAGAGTTATGACTGCTGAGGGAATACCGTACCTGTCCATTAGATCCTTCATCAAAGTCAGTTGCATTCAGCTTAATCACCAGTGTCCCAGGAGGAGAGTTTTCTACCAAGCGGACATTGTAAGTGGGTTTGTCAAAAACTGGATGATTATCATTAGCATCCAGAACATGGACAGCAATTTGTACAGTGCTAGATCTGGGGAATGTGCCCCCATCTTCAGCTGTCAGGATCAAATTGTGGATAGCCACATGTTCTCTGTCCAATGCTTTCTCCAGAACTAATTCTGGGAATTTGGTGCCATCGGTGCGTGCCTTCACATTAAGGCTGAAATTCTCATTGATGCTGAGGTGATAGGTTTGCAAAGTGTTTGTTCCTATATCTGGATCCTGTGCATGTGGAATGGGGAAACGGGCACCCAGGGCAGCCAATTCATAGATCTGCAGAACAATTGTGCTACTTGAGAATTCAGGAGCATTGTCGTTGATATCCAGAATCTCCACTTCGATGCGATAGAACTCCACCGGGTTTTCAATAGCAAGTTTAAGATGCAAGAAACACCGCAGGTTCTGGCCACAAAGCTGCTCTCTGTCTATTCTGTCATTGATTATTATGATTCCAGTGTTCACATTGACAGAGAAATACTGGAAGTCGGAATCAGAAAGCACCTGCAGATTGGCAGCTGCAAGCTTTGTTACATCCATTCCTAAATCCTTAGCAAGATTTCCTACAAAGGCTCCCCGAGTAAGTTCCTCAGGGACAGAATAACGGATCTGTGCAAAACAGTCACTCAGAAACAGACAGAAAGCAAAGGTATGTAAGAATCCCAAACGCCATGCAGTTTTTTCTGGTCTGAGCATCTTTCAGAAATCCACAGCAGGAAGGTCTAAAAATTGCAAAACAGGAGCTATTTATAGCACAGTACAGCTTTAAAACCCTGAGAAACTCACCATTTATCCCAACAAAATATGCATTATATAAAAGAAAGAGGGTCTATAGTCAGTATTTACCTCCCTCATTCATTGTTTTGGTTTGAGAGAGATTGTCACTGCTATGGAGGGAGTGGTACACACGGCAGGTCTTCAGCGTTAACCGTCTGTTCATTCGCTGAGACTGCTTTTCTATTTATCCAATCAGCAGAGCCTTTCCCAGGACAGCAACACAAGCACCAATCCATGTCTGAAAGCAGCTACTGTGTGAAAAAGGACCGCGTAACCTGGTTTTTTTTTTTAACCTAGAGACACCAGGCAAAAAGACAGGCTGGGGAAAACACAGCTCAACATCTTGTCCCATTTTGGCTTTGTTCTAGCTTATCTGACCACCAGAAGTATTAACAGCATGCAAATATTTGTTCTAACAGCACAGCTGGGTCTTCCTATATTATATGCACAACAAAACAGCAAATTTCTCATTTTCTATCAGGAATGACAGCAACCCCTCCCTCCTTGCTCCCATCTCAACTCACTAATTATTTGTAGAATGCTGAATTAATGACACTTTTAGGATATGATGTATTTTTTTTCAGAAAATCCATATTCCATTTTTCTAATAATAAACCATTTGAGAGGTGTTAGAGCTTTGCAATTTTAAATATGTTAAGAATGAAAGAAAATCTGATTTTGACAGCATTTGAAAAATGATATACAATTATTAACATTTGAATTTCCTTCTCATTCTTGCCCAAATCAAGCTACTGCTCCCCAGTTCCTGGTCCCTACCATAGGTACTTCCAACACAAGTAACCTCAATGGGGATCAATCCACAAAATTTGCCTCATCTCCAAAGCATTTATTTTAGAAAACACGATCAGAGTTCCTGCCCCATTTTGATAATTAGCCCATGCTCAATCTATCCATTTATGAAGCTACAAACCCACAAGAATTTAGCTCTTTCTCTAAAAGTCTAAAAGTTACTCAGTTAACCAGGTCATGGTTGTCTGAAAGGTGCTTTTTCAAAAGGCAACTGGACTTTGTTTTGCCTTTAATTTTTTTTGCTTCTCATCCAAGAAGCTTCTTCAGTTCTTCAGTTCTGATTATTCAGTCAGAATTGAAGAAGCTTCTTGGATGAGAAGCAAAACATCTTATAGGAAAACCAAAGTCCAGTAGCCTTTTGAAAAAGCACCTTTGCGTTAGCTCTTGGTCAAATTTCAATTACTGGAAATACCAGTTATGTTTGGGATGGGATCAGGACAAAACACAAAAGGTCACCTCACCTGCTTTGGATGATTCAGCGTATTAATATGGGACAAAAAAGGATCAACATTCCTTGTTAGTGTACTTGGCTGAGAATACACAGGCCTCATAAAGGTGAAATCAATTCGGTCTGACCCTGAAGAATGCCTGGATTTATGGGGCTGGTTATGGGAGTCTGCAGGCCTCATTGTCACTTCCATGTATTCCAGGGTACCATTGGAGTTGAGTTGCAGTTTAGGACTGGAGTATTTGAAAAGATCCCTGATAGGAGAATTGTTCATGGTGTAAGAAGAATCTTTGCATTTTCTTTTCCAAAAGCATTTTGCAGACAAGACAATTAAAGTAATGAGAGAGACAATGCTAACCACCACCAGAGCTATAATCAGATAGAGAGTCAGATCAGATTTTTCTTTGGGATGATTTAAGAATTTATGAGACTGTGAACTTTCCTCAGATGCTTTTTCCTCTAGTGAGACCAAGATTGTAACAGTAGTGGACAAAGGTGGCTTTCCATGATCCTTTACAAGGACAAGGATTTTCTGTGCAAGAAGATCTGTTTCTTGGAAGCTTCGAACAGTCCATATTTCCCCAGTGTATGGCGCCACTCGAAACAGGGAGGCATTCGTAGATTGGGGGAGTAAGGAATAGGACAGCCAGGCATTATGACCAGAATCTGCATCCACTGCTGTGACTTTTGTGATGACATAACCTACTGGTGCCAACAGAGGGATTCTCTGGAGTGCTGACAGTTGCTGGCCAGTCGCTGGATACAAAACAACAGGAGCATTATCATTCTGATCCAATATGAAGAGATAAACAGTGACACTGGAGCTTAGTATGGGTGTCCCAGCATCCTGCACAATAACAAGGATTTGCAACACTTGAAGCATTTCATAATCAAAAGAATGCTGGGCATATATATTTCCATTATCTGGGTTGATATAAATAAAGGAAGAAATGTGGGCATCTTGGACCTGATTTCCAGCCACTGAATAAGTGAGCCGGGAATTATCACCCTCATCAGGATCAGAAGCAGATACAGTACACAACAAAGAGCCAGGTGGATCGTTCTCTTTCAAGAAGGAGTTGTAGAAATGCTGAGAGAAGGATGGGGCATTATCATTGATATCTGAAATGTTCAACAAGATAGTCAAATCTCTAGTTAGAGGTGGAATTCCTGAGTCTTGGGCAGTGAGCGTTATAGTATATTGAGAGACTGTTTCTCTATCCAGCCTTTCACGTGTAATTAAGGAAAAATGATTTTCAAAAGATTTAATTTTAAAGGGTAAGCTCATTGGTATTTGCAAGCTTACTTTTCCGTTGACACCTGAATCTTGATCTCGCACACTGAAAAGCCCCACCACCGTTTCTAAAGGTATATTTTCTGGCAGTGGATTTACCAAGGAAGTAAGCAAAATATCTGGGAAATGGTCATTTTCATCTTCCACTTCTATTTGGATAACACAGTGGCCTTCCATCTGTGGTATGCCCTTGTCTCTGGCTCTTATGTGAAGTTCATAAAATTGGGATTCTTCAAAATCCACAATTCCTTGAATAGAGATCTCACCTGTATGGGGATCTAAACCAAACAGCGTCTGGATGGAATCTGATGTGTGGATTCCAAAAGAATACTGTATTTCCCCATTAGAATCTGCATCAGGATCAGTTGCATTGAGTTTAAAAATTAAAGAGCCTACGGGAATATTTTCCAAGAAATGTATCTTGTACACAGGCAGATCAAATGTCGGCTCATTATCATTATTGTCAAGGACCACAATGGTGAGCTGACTTGTTCCTGACAAGACAGGGTCCCCTCCATCATAGGCAGTCAAAATCAGCTGATGTTCTGATTGCTTTTCTCTATCCAAAGGCTGGTCTAGCACCAGTTCAGGTAAAAGCTTGCCATCCTTCACATTCTTTATATCAAGTATGAAATGAGGATTGGAACTGAGCTGGTAGGCACTGACTGCATTGGTCCCAACATCTGCATCATGTGCACTCTCGAGTGGGAGCCGTGATCCTCTAGCAGCAGATTCTGCTACCCTCAATACAAGCCAGGGAGTGATGAAATTGGGTGAATTGTCATTCAAGTCCAGAATCTCTACCTCCAGGTGAAAGAGTTCCAAGGGATTTTCAATTACTACTTGCACAGGCAGGATGCACAGTGAGCTTGCTCCACAGAGTGTCTCTCGATCTATCTTTTCATTCACCATCAGAACACCACTGTCCAAGTTAATTGCAAAATACCTCTTACTTTCCTCAGAGCCAAGCCAAAGCCTACGACTTGAAAGATCTGCCAGTGTTAAGCCCAAGTCATGTGCCACCTCTCCCACCATGGTCCCCAGCTTCGATTCCTCCACGACAGAATAGCGGATCTGTCCTGTAATCAACACCCAGTTGAATAATAAAAATAAGCCCAGTACTTGCCATTTGCAAGAGAGTTGCCAGGACAACTGTGGCTCCATCTCAGAAAATCTTCTTGTAGTATCCCTTTTATCAAGAGATTTTTCAAGACTTGGATGAGTTATGTTGATAAAATCCCTCTGTATTCCTTTCCAAAAGAATATAAGTAGCTTTTGATCTTGCTCAGCTGCAACAACGCTAGTGAGAAAGGTGAGGGGGCGTATTAGGGGAGGGAAACTGAATTACAGCCATGACGGAGGAAGAAAGTCAAGGAGGAAGAAAGTCAAGGAGGAAGAAAGTCAAGGAGGAAAGTCTAGATCCCTTCCTTCCATCTGATCAGCAGCTGAATAGGGGATAATTCCATATAGTCTTTACCACTGACAGTTCCACCTACACCCTTACAGTAGCAGCAACATGCAGAGTTGAGATAGCACCCAATGAAGCAGGCTGGTTCGTCACTGGTTTTGGCAGCTATGTTTAGCAGCTCAGATTCTTGTTCTCAAGGAAACAGCACATCCGGCAAGCATGAACAGTACAAATTTTCATTGTTCACATTCTCTAGATTGTTCCATCGCATCTGAACAAATGAGAAAATCTCTTTACCCAGAATGATAATATTCCAAAGTGATCTGATTTTCCATTTGTATGAAAAGATAGTGCAAGAAGGAAAAGAGAGGAATTTTCCATCCATTCATCCAGAATATGGTTTGCTTGTTTTTGGCTCAGGATGATGTATGAACTTGTCCACTGCAACATACAGTTAAGTCTGGGTTAGCATTATGTACTGTATGAATGGATACATTCTATGTCAATATAAGACATCCAATTATAGAAATAATCTCGTCTTCTGTGTTTTGTTTTCAAAATCACAAAAGGACACCAATTCTAGAAAGTGTTCTGGAAAATTACCCAACTAAGCTTATTTTATAACAGAAACCAATTGTTGAAATGTAACCTAATACAGATAGTCCTCAATTTACAATAGCTTGTTTAGTGACCATTCAAAGTTACAATGGAACTGAATAAAATGGACTTATGACCGTTTTTCACATGACTATTGCAGCATCCCCATGGTCCCATAATCAAAATTTGGATGCTTGGCAATTGGCATATATTTCTGACAATTGCAGCGGCCCAGGGTCATATCTGATGAGCAAAGTCAATGGGGAAGCCAGCTTCACTTAACAAATGTGTTACTAATTTAATAACTGCAATGATTCACTTAACAACTATGGCAAGAAAGGTTGTAAAATGGGGCAAAAGTCACTTAACTAATGTCTCACTTAGCAACATAAATTTTAGGCTCAGTTGTGGTTGTAAGTTGAAGACTATCCCTACCTATGTTCCTACTAGTTAAAAGCTTCTTATCAAATCTTCAAGGCTCACAGATATTTTTAGACTTATTTTAAAATATTTTAAAGAGCTATTTAACACAAAAATCTCCCCTGAAATATTTTTAACTCATAAGATGTCCACTTTAATATGAAACCTGTTTCACATGGCTTTAGTCATCATTTTCAACATTAAGACATCCAAATCAAAACCACTATTACCCAAAGAAAAATATTTCACATTGCATTTCATTCAAGTCTCTTGGGAAAGGCAGACAGATCCCCCTAGTTGTTTGACTCTTCTGAAGAATGGCTTAGTTGGTGGGGTGGCTTGGTGGTCATGTGACTGGGTGGGCGTGGCTAACTCAATGTCACTCACATCAAGGGGTGCTTCTCCTCGCCTGACCTCTCATGACAGTGGGGATGCTGCAACAGTTGTAAGTGTGAAAAACGGTCATAAGTCACTTTTTTCAGTACCATTGTAACTTTAAATCAAGGGTCTTCAAACTTGGTAAGTTTAAGACTTGTGGACTTCAACTCCCAGAATTCCTGCGCTAACATGACTGGAGGAGGAATTCTGGGAGTTGAAGTCCACAAGTCTTAAAGCTGAAAAGTTTGAAGACCCCTGCTTTAAATGGTCACTAAATGAACTCAAGGATTACCTGTACAAAAATTAAAAAGGCTTCTTTGCTTGCAAAAAGCTGCCCTAAATACCAATAATTAGATTAAAAATACCTGCAAGGCGGAGTTACAAATCAGGCAGGGTGCCAGAGCACCTTGAGGAATTAAAATAGTTAAAATGCAATGATAACTATCAGCAGCAACTCTTGCTCATAAAGTGAAACCCTTTAGCAGAGAGGTCATTTAAGCTCCCCAGAAAGAGCACACTCACGAGAAGCAATGATCCATTTGCACCACTTAAAGATACCAGCTGGTCTCACTCATCTCACAAGATATCCTAAGGAAATCATCCAGATTTAAGAAAAGATCACATGCCCCCCAGAAAGGCAGTAAAAAAATCAGTGCCAAGCTTGCATCCTGCCTCTTCGAAGTACACCCCAAAAGGACAGTGCCAGGAACCATTAAAAAGCAGTGAAGGAAGACTCCCTCCCCAGATAGAAAAAGAAACCATGAGGCAGGAAAAAATTCAAACACAATGCAAATAATTAAATCACAACAGTAGCTGTTGCTTGTTAAACCAATTACCAGACAAATAAACACAGGAAGTAGCCAGATTTCTCAACCCAGTTTCTTTTCAGGAATAGAGATTAATCTTTTTCCTTCCAAACAAAGCTGAATAGGGAAAATTATCCCACCAATAAACACAGGATTAAACATCACCAAGGACAGAATTAAACTTCACCAAAAACCAGTTTTAGACCAAAACTCAGAAAGGGTGTGTAAACTCATGTTAGAATGTCAATCTTTCTAGCTAGCCAAGAAGCCTTGCTGAATGTCACTCATCTTGGTTCCTTGTCATTAAAAGCTTCTTTCTATTAGCTCTGCTTCGTTATTCAATATATTGCCCTGGATGAACAAGAATGTACAATTACTTCTCAGGACACCTGATATGGCATTCAGGTCTGGGGACAGGGTTTGATATAACAAGGCAAGAGCGGAACTGAGGCGGGGCATTAAGGAGGAAAAAAAGGACTATAAAGGGAAGATTGAGTACTACTTCACAAATAGTGATCCACAGCGGGCTTGGCAGGGAATTAAACACATCACTAATTACAGGGGCAGCAACCCCATATTGATCAATAAGAACGCATCACTGGTAGAAGAATTGAACTGCTTCTTTGCCTGATTCGAACTGAATAGGTCTTTGGACACACTGCCTCTACAAACCACCGGTACTCAGCTGTTCACAATACAAGAGTATGATGTGAAGCGGGTGTTTAGAGCAGTGAATGTGAAGAAGGCCACTGGCCTTGATGGGGTACCTGGGAAGGTACTTAAAGCATGTGCTGACCAACTCGCAGGTGTGTTTACAAATATTTTTAACCTTTCTCTCACACAAGCCATTGTTCCATCTTGCCTCAAAACTTCCATTATTCCAGTTCCCCAAAAGCCCCTCCTGATACTTTAAATGACTATAGACCAATAACTCTCACACCCATAATTATGAAGTGTTTTGAAAGATTGGTCTAAAAATATATACAGGATTGCCTCCCATCGACCCTTGACCCATACCAGTTTGCTTATCGGAATAACAGATCCACAGAAAGTAGACTCTGGGTGTATTTTTCCAAACACAGTGAGCTTGAATGTGTATAGTTTTAGAAGAGCGCTCCCTCTCTCTCTCTCTCTCTCTGTACAGTAGATATACAGTATAGTATATATAGTAGATAATGTATCTTTTTGTGTGCCTATACACACTCTATACTATGTAATATGTATGTACACATATGGCATAGAAAGTCTACATAGGATTAAATAGTGTATTTTGGATGTTCAGTAGTAGTAAATAAATAGACAGGGAAATTGCATCTCATTGAGGCCTTTGAGGCGAGGAGAGGCCAGGCAAGTGAGTGACATTAAGTTGGCCATGCCCACCCAGTCACATGCCCACCCAGCCACACCTAGCCAGTGACATGACTACCAAGCTACGCCCACAGAACCAGTAGTAAAATTGTTTGAATCTGACCACTGTCCACTCCTCCTCTTCCCAGCCACCTGTTAGAATGTCCTTGGTTCCCAGAGGAAAACTTTTTGTTTTGACTACAAACCCCCAGTTATCTATTTTCCCCCTCCCTATCCCTTCTTCTTCCTTGTGGCAACCCTAAAGCCTCAAAGATGGCCTCAGCCAGGTTTGCTTCAGAGTTGACAACTATACTGTCAGGCTGCGCTCCCCATCACTTGAGCTACAGCTTGCCACATTCCTGAGAGGGAGGGGGGTGGGGGGAAAGGGAGCCTGTTGTAAAGGAGGAAAGTGGGGGAGACCAGCGCAGACAGGAAGCAGAGGTGTTTCTATGGGTTGTAGGGAAACTGTACATTCCTAAGGGCCAACGAGCTTTAGTCCTTTAGAGAAAAGCTATTATTCAAAAACAGCAGGGCACTTTGGGTTCATAAAAACCCTGTACCTAATAAAACACCAATTCTGGTGGCCGTTCCTGAATAAAGACATTGAGGCATATGTGGCTAGTATGCGGAGAGGAAAAAAAATGCCTAGGGAAGATGTCAGGACTCCTATAACATGTGGCAAGATGCCAGGCTCCGTGGAAGGAAATCTCTATGGACTTTATCATTGAACTTCCTGAAAGTTCTGGAAATTCCATTATTTGGGTCATGACAAGCCTGTTTTCCAAAAACAGATGCACTTCATATCCTGCTCAAAGAACCCTTCAGCCCTCACTCTAGCTAAATTCTTCGTTCAGCATGTCTATAAGCTACATGATGAGCCAGAGTGCATAATCCAAACCAGGGATTAAATTCACTTACAATTTTGCAAAAATTTCTATAATTATTAGGCACCAAGCAGAGACTTGGTAGTTCCCATCATCCACAAATGGGACCTGTGAATAAATAAATGGGGGCCTAGAACAATATTTAAGACGTTAAAACATCTTAAATTCCAGCAAGACAACTGGTTAAATTTCCAGCAAGACAACTGGTTGGACGTCCTCCCATTTGCAAAAATGGCATGTAATAACTATGTGCATAGTAGCACTGATTTCATCCCTTTTAAGGTGGCTATGAGGCAAGTATTCATTGCTATGCCAAAACTACCC